TTCTTCCGTTATAGAAACACATGAAAACAATGCTGACTGCTATGCAATGCTTTATGACCAAGGCCATCTTGGAATACCCATTGAGGCAGATTCAAGTTTGACAGTTGCACAGCAGCAGAAGTTTAGTATCCGTGAAATATCTCCAGAATGGGGTTATGCTACAGAGGCTACAAAGGTACAACTCATCAAATTCTATGAACTGTTATGCTCTTCACTACATTTCTCGTTATTCATTCATTGAGATGGCAGTATTATTCTAAGAATTGAACTGTTGTGTGGTTTGAAGAATGTATGAACTCATTAATTTACAGCATTTGAAAAAAGGCTGCCCCTTCAGTGCAGTGATATAATTCTAAGTTGATAGCATAATTTTCCTCACTCCTGTCTGGATGTGTTCATTCTTTTCTTTCGGAATTATGCTTTCACCGATGCATCCATCTCATGCAAGATTTGACTAGTTTTTTGCTGCCTGGCCAACTATTTGCCACCATCCTCATTCTTGATCAGGATTGAACAAAACAGAGGAAAAACTTTCCCTTGTAGCTTTATCCCTAGTTTTATGATTCTGCTAAATTGGTTCCTGACTTCATTGAAGACAGTTTTTAAGAAATCAGGAAAACATGACTGTATATTGGACACTGAAGTACTTGAATATAGCATGTATTAGATGATCCTGATGCCAGACATTTATAAAATGAGCACAGGACACAGAATCATCTTATGCTGAATTCATTGAAGATAGTATTTAAGAAATTAGGAAAACATGACTCTGTTCCAGGACACTGAAGTACTCGAATATAAAGTGTATTAGATGATCCTGATGCAATGCACGTATAAAATCAGCAAAGGACACAGAATCATCTCATGCTTCCCAATCTCAAGTGATGGATTCCTGCACCCTCTCCTTCTCCCCCTCTCCCTCTCTAGGCAAAGAGTAATTCAAAATTTCATGGACAGCGACCTACCATCCAACCCTGGTGCTTACTGGTACCATTGTGAAAACCAGATAAGACTAGTTACTGGTAGCTTATCATCCTTTAGATAACTAGATGTTTTGGTGAACATTCTTCAAACTACCACTTTGCTTGCAAACTAAACAGTTATCTCATAAACCTTCCTGATGCACCAAATGAACTTCTGTCCTTCTGATGACTCATTCCTCAGGATTATTTTTGGAACATTTCCAGTTTGCATCTGTTGTTGTTTGAGAATATTCTTAAATTAGTTATCTTATGCATTGCTTTGAGATGTTTTTCTTTTTAGTTCTGAAATAAGAAATAGAGTCCAAAATTTCAAGTCCTGAGTCTCAATGCAGGTCATCATTGTTGGATCGTTTCTCTGTGACCCATCAGAATCATCATGGACATGCATGTTTGGTGACACTGAAGTTCCTCTTCAAATCATTCAAGAAGGCGTTATTCGTTGCGAAGCTCCTCCCCACCAGCCTGGAAAGGTCACTCTCTGCATTACTTCTGGCAATCGGGAGTCCTGCAGTGAGATCAGAGACTTTGATTACCGAGCTGAGGATAGTAGCTGTGCTCACTGTAACTTTTCCCAAACAGAAGCTAGTAAGAGTCCAGAAGAGCTATTGTTACTTGTCAGATTTGTGCAGATGCTTCTGTCTGATTCTTCTTTGCAGAGAGGAGACAACATAGAAACGGGAATTCATCTACTTCAAAAATTGAAGGCTGATGATGATTCATGGGGTTATATCATAGAGGCTCTTTTAGTTGGCAGTGGAACTTCATCCACGACAGTTGATTGGCTTCTGCAACAACTACTAAAAGACAAGCTGCGGCAGTGGCTTTCCTCCAAGTCTCAGGAAGAACATGACCATCCTGGATGTTCATTGTCCAAAAAAGAGCAAGGGATCATACACATGGTTGCTGGGTTAGGTTTTGAGTGGGCCTTAAGCCCAATTCTCAGTCATGGAGTCAGTATAAATTTCCGTGACATTAATGGGTGGACCGCTCTCCACTGGGCTGCTCGTTTTGGAAGGTAAAATTATAACCTGGTATGTTTTCATATATTTTGTATACTGATTTCAGCTATAGAGATTGTTTATCTTCCAAAAGAAGAGGCTTACAACTTATATTGCAAGGGAAGAATATCCATGTTGAATGTTGATACATTCAACCCAGACTTGCAATTTTGAGTACGTGTATAGGAGATGAGAAGATAGAATTGACTAGTTTTGAGAGAAAGCTTGAAGGATTCAGTGGCAGAATTATCTTCTAACTCGCCAATTAACCAAATGAACTGAAACGGAAGACGATTAGGGGTGTTTTTGGGTTATGACTTGGAATGTAGTAGATCTCATAATAAATTGGTTTTATTTGCTACTAGTTTTTGAATGGTGGTCATTATTTTCTGTAACAGGGAAAAAATGGTTGCTGCCCTTTTAGCTTCTGGTGCATCAGCTGGGGCTGTGACTGATCCTAGTTCAAAAGATCCAATTGGCAAAACCGCAGCATCCATTGCTGCCAGTGGTGGGCACAAGGGACTTGCTGGTTATCTTTCAGAAGTGGCACTAACTAGTCATCTTTCATCTCTTAGACTCGAGGAAAGTGAGCTTTCTAAAGGCTCTGCTGAGATTGAAGCTGAGAGAGCTGTAGATAGCATCTCAAAGGTGAGCTTTGCTGCCAATGAAGATCAGGTTTCACTTAAAGATACCTTGGCTGCAGTCCGGAATGCGGCTCAGGCAGCTGCCCGAATACAATCTGCTTTCCGTGCACATTCTTTCAGAAAGCGACAAGAGATAGAAGCTTCTATTTTAGATGAGTATGGTATCAGTGCCGGTGACATTCAAGGGCTCTCGGCTATGTCAAAGCTGGCCTTTCGTAACTCCCAGGATATCAATTCGGCTGCATTATCCATTCAGAAGAAATATCGAGGATGGAAAGGTCGCAAGGATTTTCTAGAACTTAGACAGAAAGTTGTGAAGATACAGGTGCTATATCTTTTCACCATAGATCTAATTTCATCTGTATTTTCTCAAAATAGTGAGATGTATTAAAATCATGATTTGTTTTGTGCTTCAGCATTTCATTATCTAGACACTTGTGTATTCATTTATCAAGTAGCACAATCAACAAACCATTAAGTATATTACATACATTCATTTTGAGGGGTTGAGTATCCTTGATTAAGCACCTTTTGGTCTTTTGGCAGGCTCATGTGAGAGGCTATCGGGTTAGGAAGAACTATAAGGTAATATGTTGGGCTGTTGGAATTCTAGATAAGGTAGTGCTGCGGTGGCGACGCAAAGGAATTGGTTTGCGAGGTTTCCGGAATGAGATGGAGTCCATTGATGAAAGGGAAGATGATGATATTCTCAAGATGTTCCGCAAACAGAAAGTGGATGGAACTATTGATGAGGCTTTCTCTCGTGTGCTATCGATGGTTGATTCTCCAGATGCACGTCAGCAATATCGCCGGATGCTGCAACGATACCGCCAAGCTAAGGTAAATACATCAGAAAAATTTGTATTGACATGGAATTTGAACATTCATGCTTTCTAATGCAACTGGTTAATGTGTTTTTTAAGCCTTTTACCTCTGAGCGTCTGTTGATTGTGCAATAGAATGGATTTTATTTTTTTTACCAAGTAATTCGATGGAATTAACAAGAAGAAAAAATTATGTAATTTTTTTTCATGCATGTAAAGTATGGTGAACTCAATGTCATGGTGTTTGAAAATACTAATGTTGGCCTAATTACACAGTTGGAAATAGAAAGTCAGGTTTGAAGGTGGGAGGATTAATTGAGAGTTCCTGCCATTTTATCTTGAATCAACCTCAAAAGTTTAACAAGATACTTTCTCCTGCTATTATTGCCCCAGGATTATCCCAAGAGAATCACTGTGCGATTTTAGTGTTTCTGTGCTGAGCACGCTAATTTTCTTTTGGCCAAACCTGTGAATTCTTCTACCATTCTTGCAGGATGAACTCGGTACTAGTGAAGCAGCAGCGTCTACTTCTCTGGCTGATGCAAATGAGATGGAAAATGATGATCTGTACCGTTTCCAGTAGAAGCAACTTCTGACATCCAATTGCACTAACCAATCTTCACCCCAGTTTGACCGATCTTAAGTTTGCCTTGGATAATTCTGGATTCAGTTGTTGTGTATAATGGCTTGCATTCACAATAGTCTCTAGTGATATTAGACTATGACTGGTATATATCTCATATTGATTGTGTAAATGCTTCTTGTAAGTGCCGTAAATGGTACATGAAGAAGTTGTAGTAGTTTCTTTATTCTCTTGGAAGCTAATATACTCTTTAGTATGGATAGTAGTCAATCCTCTTATGCATGCATGCCCATGCTGGGATTCCTGGTATCAAAGTCTTTTCCTTGGTTCACTATGCGTGGAGCCTTTTCTTTTTGGCTAGAATAGAGATTATGCACATGGCTACCAACGGCACTAGAAATAGAGAAATTATCACGTCAACCCCTATAAATATTTGTTGAAGGCATCGCGCTTACAGTACTCTTGTTTTTTTTTTTTTTTTAGGGTTAGCTTATGAGCTCATAGCTACTTTTTCATCGATAAAAAATGAGCACGATGAAGACGATCGATACATTTTTATTTATTTCGAATAAAAAAGTTCAAACTTGAAGGACTAAAATGGAAAATGTGAAGGGTGTAGAGAGAGAGTGGAAATTTGTCGACGTCGCCGCCCTCGCCCTGGTTCTTGCTAATTGGGTGTTTCATGAAATTTTAAATTTAATTTTTTAATTTAAATTTAATTTTTTTATATTTTTAAATTATTTTAAAATATTAATATTAAAAATAATTTTAGAAAAATAAAAAAAATATTATTTTAAAATATTTCAAAAAAAACTTCAAAAACAACCATTGCTCGCTCTCCAATATCACTCTCAAATGTCAAAATGCAACAGACAGCGTGCGCTATGGGAAGTTGTGATTTTGAGCCACGATTATCGTGTAAGGCCACGTGGCTTCCTCTAAAAAAAGATAAGCTCGCCAGTAAGAATGTTCAACTACATTTCATTTCGTTTTCTTGACTTGTTTGGTTCCATCAATTCTTCTCTCATCAATATCATTGCGTAACCTAATCATGGAACCAGCCAAAAATCTGGAGCTCATTGATCAGGCTATCAAGAAGCTCTTAGCAGAGAAAAGAAACAAAGAATCCTCTGGTGATGATGGTTTCCTCCAGGATGATAACGATCAACTTCTCCTCTCCAAATTGCTTTCCGAGGTATATGAGAGAGAGAAAAACTCCAAGGAACATTCAAACCATTTTTTTTGTGTGATTGACTTTCAATAAACACTTCATGTTTTGATTGATTGATTAGCTTCTATCGAATGATTTGTTCAAAATACATGTCTCGCTGTCAATTAACGTAGCTGGCCTCGTTTGTATGAACAGTTGGAATCACTAAAAGGGAATGATGCTAGACTTGAGCAATCTGATATATCACCTGGAGCGGAGGAGGAGGAGGAGGTAAATTCTCCTGCAATTGGTGAAGTGTTGTCAAGACATGAGAACAGCATTGAAAATACAGCCGCTGAAGAGATAGCTAAAGAGCTTAGAAAACTGAGGAGGCAGAATTTTGTTACGCAGTGCCTTCTTTCAGCAATGATTGTCCTCACTGTTGCCTGGCAGGTATCTCAGGTGTCCATCATTTTGCAAGTTAAAGATGGGTTGAGCCACCCGTTTAAATCCTTTGGGAGTATGTTAGCTGGGATGCTGAAACGTTCCCGTGCCAACGGTCAAGATTCAGAAAATCAGCAGTCAGAAGTGGTTCCTGTCAAAGTTCCTCCTTTAAAAATTCCAGAGCTTCCACATATCGATTTAGGTTCCAACATTGAGTAGCATTTCCTACATTTCAAGTGCGTTTGATGGCAAACCAATGAAGGGTACCCGCTAAGTAGGTGTTTGGTAGTGATTCTGCTTCTAGCTATTTTTATTTTTCAAAGATGTTTTTGGATTAAAATAATATTTTTTTATATAGTTTTAATATATTGATGTTAAAAATAAAAAATATAAAAAAATTATTTTAATATATTTTTTTAAATTAAAAAAAACTATTACCACTAAATGTCTATATGATGCATTATTGTAATTCAGTGTTTAGCATCCAGGTATAAACAAGGCATTTATAGGAAGAGAAAACCATGTTTAATTGCTTTTATAGGTTGATGTTTTGCAAGAGAACCATGTCAAATACGTCTTCTTACTGCGTTTGAACTGCGAGCAAGGTCCACTGCTTTTTGAGCCTTCAAGTTTCCATTTGAGAGAAACTGGATAACGTAAATAATCAAGATTGAGTGTTCTAACTTTTACGCAAACGACATACAGGTTCCCTTTCTGTAAAGAAATGATTAAAAGAACAATGCCTCATGCCAGCCACAAACTTCAACAGCGCAGTGAACTCCTCATAGATGACTAATTAGTGAGAAAATCATCTGCACGACGACTACCATCGTGTGGTGCCTAGCCAGCCACCGTAACAATTAAACATAAAAACAGTGGCATTACACAAGTCATTTAATGCAGATACAACGCGCATAATTGAGTGATGATGGATGGTTTAATAGCAAGCATCTGCAGTTCAACTTCAAAGCAAGACCTGAAACATTGAACGCATGACATGGAATTCGACTCAAGCAAAATGTTTTGAAAACTCCAAAACCAAAATCTTTAAACATTAAACCACCAAATCTTTACCAACTCAGCCAACCACAACATAGCAATCTATGAACTTCGGGAACACCAAGAAGACGTGCTGGAATGAAACATTAAACATAACCCAAACAAAAAATCCCCGTCTTCATTTAAAATGTTTTGAACTGAACGGATATAACGAAAGAGGTCCAATCCCTGAACATTATAACCATATAAGATTTTGCTTGGCCGTTCTTGTCTTCAAGCATAGTTCAACCTGAATATGTCATTGTACACATAATAGCTTCCCTGTGGCGTTGGCATCAAATGGAACATCTGAGAGCAGAAAGCACGAGGGGAAATTTCAGTTAGAGACTAAACGGACAATATTAACCTTTCAGTCTCAGAACAGCACGGTAAAGAAATAAATGAAGACACCACAATAAACGAACCAAAGATCACATAGAACAATACATTATACACCAAGTGCTTAGATGGTACTAGAAAAAGGACCAAACAAAAAACAAATCAGTGCCACATTGTCATGGCTGGCAGAACGCTAGACTTCAAGAGTACCTGCTTGAAGAATTCAGAGGACCAATTTGATACGTGCCAACATACACATGATTAGATGACCCAGACAACTAACAAGAGAACTCATCCTCTACCGGTTAAGCATATGCATGTGTATTGAGCTAGCCAAACATTCATCAAATTGATTTCAACAGGAATCATAATGAAGAAACTCGACAGAACACAGAGTTGGGGTTTCATTTTTAAGCCCCAGCTCCGACGTTAAAGTTTCCTTATCTAAGAGATTTGATCATCTAAAGCATCATCCAATGCTCAGGGCATACTTTTTCAGCATTACTGAATCACTTCTTTCTCACTCCACTTTGGCAGCGCATGCTTAATTTACAACAAGCAAACCACCATGGAAATGAAACAAGTAATCACCTATAATGTTCTAGGAGGTCGAGCACCAACCAAGTTTTCAATATAAGTTTCTAAGCATCTCATATAGAAAAAACCCTTGCGCAGCCACTGAAAACAGAGGAAAAAAACAATTCAAATCCGCATAAACATTGAAAAATCACCTGAACCAGAAAATTGCTTCATGTCACTGCTATTTCATGCACTTGTAATGCCATAAAGCTCTAGACGTGCATAAATTAGCTACAAATCAGATAATAATATAACTGGAAATCTCAACGAGGCACGCACAAATAAACCCTAGATCTAGCAATACAAAACACAGACATTCTTTATTTCCAAAAAAAATCCAAAACATAACGAAATCATAAAAAAAGAATAAAATACCTATCAGTAACAACTAGTTCAATCAGATCGAGAATCGAATCCGCAAACATCAATCAATTAACCACAGATCAGTCCACATACACCACAAGACAAAACGTAAAGAAAAAACGGAAATACCTGGCTGAACTTGAGAGCGTGCTGTTCGCCGGCGAGCTGGAGATTACCGGAGACAAAAACAAGCATACCACCAGCAGGACCAGAAGGCTGGCAATCAACGGTAGTGATGTGATGTTTGCACTGATGAAAAGGAAGAGCAGTTAGTTTAGCTACAATGTTCTGGGATCCCTGAGTCTTTTGACCTTCAAAAGTCAGCATGGAAGCGTCTTGATACAGATTCGCCAACCCAGCTCTATTCGAATCGAACATGTTGTAGTAGTGCTCAACAAATGCCTTCGCTACTGTGTCTGGATCCATCTCAACCCCTTTTTAATTTAATCTTGTTTCCTCCTTTTTTTTATTTCTTCAGCTTCGTTTCACGGAGAGAGAGACAGAGAGGGACAGGAAGGAAGAGAAGGCTTAGTTTTGCTTTTATTTCATCATCCAACGGTTAGGATTTGGGGTTGGAGAGTGAGAAAATCCAGGGGATTTTTACGACCGTAGAAATTTATTTTATTCTCATCTCTTTAACACGGCTTTTTTTTTCAATTACTTTTTTTATTATTATATTGTTTTGGGCGAACGTTGTAGGAAGACTTTAAAGCCCAATTGTAGCTGGGTTGGGCCTCCAAAAGCCTTACATGGAGGGTTAAGCCTAGCCCACTTTCTGGAAAATTACAAAAGAAAAAACTAAATTCAGTTATTTAATGTTGAGAGGGAAAACACTGTGGATTCAGACGGTATATTGATCATTTTACCCTTTGTTGCACTTAACAAAGGATCTTTGGTCAAGGGATTTTTATGTCTTTACAAATTGATTTATATAGTTAAATAATGTCTGTACCCTCCAAGTCTGATAAAAATTGGCCTTTATAGCATGAGTTTTTTTTCTTTGCATATTTTATATATAGTAAAATTTTATATTTATCCTTTAACTTTGGAAATCAAAGGCTGTCCTGGGAGAATATTTTCATATTTCCATCATTGTTTTTTCGTAATATCCACTTGCGCTTATAACTTTTTTTAGTAATTTTCATTTATTGCAATATTAATAGATTAATATGATAGGCTACGTGTGCCACACACGCATAGATATGGCATTGCCCTAGCGTTATCTTTTTTTTTTTTTTTTTACGTGGGGTGTCCGGGTCAGCTTGCGCGCACTACGACTAATCTTCACGGCCCACTGAATACCCTGCAAACCCAGTAGGCATGTAAGACACCGCGGGGATGACAGGCGTGCACGCCAGGACTCGAGCCCAGGTGCCATGGAAGGACACAAACCCCTTCCACCGCTAGGCCAAGCCCTGGTTTGCGCCCTAGTGTTATCTTGGTAATACATAAAGGCGTTACAATGGCAAAAAAAAATCAATCGCCTACCCATCCAATGAGGAAGGTGGCAACGTAAATGTTAAAATAGCATATTCTGTTATTTAAGCGGCGGTTCGATAACGATTAGTCTTTTTTCTCCTCTATTTATTTACTCTTTTCTAAACTTTGATATTTGTGTAAAGCTTTAAAAAATTCAATTGTATATTCTAGTTTATATTTGTTTTTGGTTTGATCGTTATTTTTTTTATTATTTTAGATTTTACACATCTTTAAGTTTATTTTATTTTTATTTTTATTTCTTATTATTTAATCTTATTATAATTCTTTTATTAAATCTGGGTTTTTTTTTAATTCCTGTAAGTTTAATTTAATTTTATTTGGTTTTCAATTTTGATACTTATTTTTTTAATTGCTCTTTTTTTTATCATTTTTTTTTCAATTTAATCTTAAATTAGTTTCTTTCAATTATTGTTATGCATGGTTTAATGGTCTAGTCCTTATTGTTTTAATTTTATTTTTTCTATGATTTGAAAATTTTCTTTGTAATTTTTTCATGTTTTTCTTTTACAAGATAATCTTAGTCTCATGATTCGGCCCATTAGTTTCGGCGACAAACCCAATTTGAGTTTGATATTTTTTAAAGTCCTTTCTAATTTTTTTTTTCACAATTTGACAGTAAATTTATTAGGCATTGAGCTTCATGATTCGTTTTATTTTTTTTGTTAGATTATCTCTACCTCATATCTCAAATTACAAGTTAGTTGAATAACTTGAGTTGATTTTTTTAAATTAATTTTTTTATTTTATAATTTACCATTAAATTATTAATTGTTAAACATGTTTTATTAAATATTATTTCAAAATAATTATACGCGTCAACGCGTGATGAGTCATCTCAAATATTAAATGAAAAAATTAATCCAAGTTAACTTATATTTTTTCACTAATTTTTTTTTTAACTTTGTATTTTTTATCAAGTGTTTCCTTTGAAAATCTGATTTTTATCCTTAATTTTTTATAATTTTATTATTTTACATGGAATAATTTGCTTTTAAACTTTTATTTTTAGTTATTATGATAGGTGGTTGGTAAAGCTACACCAGTTTTTTAAAAGTTTCTTTATTAAATTTATTTGTTTGCATTACTCAATTTTTTTTAATTAAATTTTAAACTCTGTACTTTTTTTTTTTCATAAGTTGTTTTAATTTTAATTTTTTTTGTTTTGCAGGTTATTTCATGAGTCATGCTTTATTGAATTCAACCTCATATTATTGTCATTTAATTATTATTATTATTTCTAGTTTGAATGGTATTGCATGCCATAAATTTGTATATTCTGCATGTAATAATGCTATCTGGCAGTGAAAGCAGTTGAAAAGGATTATAAGCCGTCGACAGCAGGGTTCGAACCTGCGCGGGCGAAGCCCAACAGATTTCAAGTCTGTCTCCTTAACCACTCGGACATATCGACGGTCGTGATGAGCGAAAGCTCTCTCTCATTTATGAATAATTGTTTTGCGCACAAAGCTCACGCTTAATACGTTTAGTAGAAAACTCAACCTCCAAGCTCTGGAGGTTGAAGGCCACACCTCGTTTTTCCACTTTCTACGGTTTGAAAATTTACTGTAAGCTACATATCTACATGGGCTTTCTCCATCTATTCCATACCCTTCCCTGTACATCTTTTTTGTATGCAGGAAAAAAAGAGAGTAGATAATATATGCTGTTTTCTGACTTGATGTCTAACTTGATTTGTCAGAAGCAGAAGGAATAAAGCTTTAGGACAACAGCATCTATCACTTTTGACAACTGAACTGCGAAGGGCCGTTTCGAGTACTGATAAAAAGCGCTTCACCCGCAAAGAACACAGTCATGGGGCGTAATGAACGTTCTCTGAAACAATAATGCCGCGAGTCAAATGTGATGAACAGACAAGAATCTTGCGATTACTCAAATTTTTTACACAGTCACTGTATAAGTTACATCAATTCTTAGCAGTACAACCTTCTGGTACTGTTAGAAACATCTAACAAAGTAACCTAGTATGGTACACATCAACATCGTCATTAAAGAGATAATATACATGAAGCATCCTCTCCTTTGCTACCAAGAAGCTATCTTTCCTTCTTCCGAGAGAATCTTGTATCCGAGGCACGGGCGGCCACCCTCAAAGAAAGAGAGATCTCTTCGGCTTCTCACTGATTTATTACTTCACATGAAGGAGAATGCAATTCCGTATTTTCTATGATACACTCGGGAATCTGGATTTCTCCATCCACTGGAAAGTAAGAATTGAATCCAACGTCCTATTCTAAGAGTTGTGTCTCTACCAATAAACCCCCGTCCCTAACCACTTATGACAGCTAGGAAATGAGATCAACTTTACAAGGAAAAGGGAATCAGCTTTCATTATGCAGCCCGTAAAACAATCAATGAACTAGAGCCCAACCAATCAATCATGGCTTCTATTTACACTCTCCGCAACAAAACGATTTTTTTTTTCGGAGAAACATCAAGCGGATCAGGAAGTCCACAAGCTTGTGAGGTAGCAAAGTAATTTGACGTTTAGAGTCGAACATCTGAGGAACAATTGAGAAAGGTGTGCTGCAGGTTTTGAAAAAAAAAAATAACGAGCAGGAATTTTGTAAGAAAAACCTTCATCGCAGAGACTATGAAAATCAACAATCATTTTAGGGGAACGGAGAACTCACTGTTCGAGAAAACTCTCAACCCCTTCAAGCCCTGGAGAATAGGTGCTTGAGCTCATGTCATGAGTAGCCTTCAAAATAAGCACTCTACAAATTCGCACTGGAAGTTGGCTGCAAAAATCGTGAAACTTCCTGATAGAGTTGTTCAGCTTCAAACGGCTTGGAAACATATCCATCCATCCCACATCTCTGGCATTCCTCGTATGTAGCCTGGATCACATCTGCAGTCATTGCCAGTATCGGTATATGCCAATTTGACTCCATATCCCGAATTCTCCTTGTAGCTTCAAACCTGGGGGAAAAAGACATTGTTTTTAAAATTAGCAAAAAATCTATCTATGAATTAATAAATCCAAATAAAATCAATGGACAGAAAAGAATGCATCTGGATTAGCACATCCAGCACAAACAGCTGCCATCACAAACTAGGCAGCCTATAAATATATATTTCAAAATTAGTAGTTTTCCTATTGCTGTGGGTTTCAAAAGTTAACCACGAACTTGAAAAAATCCAACATTAAAATCTTAAAGGTGTGAAGCATCACATACCCGTCCATTTCAGGCATTTGGATATCCATGAAGCATGCATCAAATTTGTGAGGTGGCTTAAGCAATTTGATCGCCTTTTGGCCACTATCTGCACAGACAACATCAGCTCCATACTTCTTCAAAGCACCAGCAGCTACCATGAGGTTCACATTATTGTCATCTACAATAAGCATTTTTCTTCCAACAAGGAGTTTGCGAAGAGACAAACTAGGGTGCTCTCCATTGCAAGGATTCCCCTTATTCCCACCCATTGCTCGTTGTAAAGAATCAGCCAGCATACTTGCCTTGAGGGGCTTGGTTATGACACTTGGGGTATAAACACCAGAAGTTGCAGTGTTTGTTCTTGAAGAACTAAGAGAATTTCCCAAGAGGAACAGTTTTGGAGAAACCCCCAAGTCAATTTTTTGTAACTTGTTGACGAAGAGAGCTGAAATGCTCGAATCCTTATCCCAAACTTCCTGTTCAATAAAGACCATATTGACAACTTTATTTTCATTGCTTATGCTAGATAAACCTTGATTTAAATCCAAAACTAATTCAACACGTATTCCTAGTCGTTGGATCTGATATCTTGAGACCTTGGCCCTAACAGGCTTGGGGTCCACAACCAATGCAGTCATGCCCTGAAATTTGGAAGACATTGTGTTAGTTTGGGTTTTTAGTCTCTGCTTCTGGAGTTTGGAGTCATTTGAATTGGAGCAACCGTTGCTAAAGACAGCAGTGAACGTGAAGGTGGACCCAATATCCGGTATGCTAACAAAGCCAATATCCCCATTCATGAGGCCAACCAAACACTTGCTTATGCTTAGGCCAATGCCTGTGCCTCCATATTTCCTGGAAATGGAGGGATCAACCTGCATAAAAGGAGTAAAAACACGAGGTTGGGCTTCTAGAGGGATCCCTTCTCCTGTATCCTCAACTGAAACTATTAGATTGATGAGGTCAGAAGAGGATGGCAAGAGAGTATGACTTGATCCCTCTGGATTGAAAGTCTTAAATCCTACCCAACTCCGGCATCTATCTGCAACTGGCAAACCACTCAAGGTGTTTCGTGATGATGATTCTGTCTCAACATCTATCGAGTCCATTACCTCCGCTACAAGATGAACAGTGAGAAAGATGTGCCCTCTCTTTGTAAACTAGAACAAAAAAAAAAGAGGAAAAAAAAACATCAGTCAACAACTCCTTTATCCTTCTCGTTGATAGGGGAAAAATCATGATTTAGGAGAGGCCATTAAGCCTAAAGACAAGGCACAACATTCCTCATTCCACTCTTCCTCAAAAGGAAGGTACAATTTTTATGTCACAACGGGGCCTAATTTCAACCAACACACGGCAAGCACAGAGAGATCTCTTCAGGATCACTGAGCAAGAAAACATTAGCTAATCCAGCTGCCAGAACTTGAAAACATGAAGACATATGTCCAAGCCTTAACACAAAAAAAATTGCTTTGCATGGCAACAGACCATGGCTTGTGTTTTCTCCTATATCTCTGTGCAAGTTCTCAAGTTTTCAGTTGAATCAGTTTTTGGTAGCTGCTTATCAATTCAGAGATTCAACCTTAATTGTAACCAAAGATTTTGAAGGAAGAAATAACTGGGCACTTACTTTGATTGAATTCCCCATGAGATTGGTAATAATTTGCCGAAACCTCCCTGGATCACCGATTAGCATTTCAGGAACACCATCAGACACGTAAACTGCCAGCTGCTCTTCCCGCCAATTATATCATGAAAATGAAACATGTAAAGAACGATCAAGGACAAGAAGTGAGGTCCAAAGGAAACCAAACAACAAATTTCGAGAAACACACATTACCTCAACACCTTTCTCATGAGCCTTGCCAGAAAAGAGTGCCAATACTTCATCCATAATTGCTCGCAGGTCAAACTGCATTGCCTCAAGCTCAATCTTACCAGATTCAATCTTTGCTTGATCCAAGACCTCATTTATAAGTGAGACTAGTGCTTTTCCACTGTCTTGTGCAGTTCTAACATAATCTTGCTGAGTTGCGTCTAGTTCTGTGTCCATAAGCATATGTAGCATTCCTGAAATACGGACAAAGGCTGTGTCATGGCTGCATGAACTTTGCACTGTTCCTTATATGGGACAAGTAATGGACAATTTCAAAACTCACCTAGGACACCATTCATTGGGGTTCTGATCTCGTGGGAAACCGTAGCAAGAAACTACAAAAAGTTAAAATTTATTTAGCATTGTATGACATAAACTTGCAAGCCTAAAGAAAAGAGGAGCAGAATAGAAATACCAAATACCTGAGATTTTGCAACATCAGCTGCCTCAGCTCGTTTTTTAAGCTCCATCATCTCATGGAAATCATCTTCAACTTTGGCTATTCGATTCATAGTTGCATGGAATATGTAACCAATAAGCAATGCAATCACAAGGATGCCAATTGATGTTGTTATTGCTAACCATGGCCATGGTGGTTTTTGTTTGAATCTGCATTAAGAGAGACAACTAGTTGATGCAACTGTCTCAACTAATATACACTTAAAAGCATTACAACATTGATTTAGAGACAACTGGTGATTTTTGTTCTCCGTTCTTTTGATTAATAATGGCATAACCACATCAAAACAAGGAAATTTGGACCAACCATATCACTATATCAATATACTGTAAGGCTATCTTTTTTATTGAATTAAAAGAACTTGTGATATCTTGTGGTATGCTATTGAATAGTAAATCAAATAGAGATGGCTATTTCATACACAAGTTGAACCCCATGCCATTCAACAAAAGATGGATGTTTATTGATTACCTGCAGCGCATCTCATGCTTTCTGAAAGGATCCCCAAAATTAAGGGCACTGACATGTTCCAGCCCATCATCTGATACATTGGAACCATACATGCTGATAGGGTGAGACTGATTAGTAATATCATATACATTCACTAAGATAGTTTGCTTGCTTGCAAGCTGTTGAAGTAGCTTTTCCACAAGCGACTCAATGTCAAAGATTCCTCCAAGGTACCTGATTGGAGTCAAGAGAAGATCAGAAGAGCTGTTGATTAATTATAATTTTCATCAGAGTGCCAACTCTATATATTCATGCTTTATATTCAAGCATCACTTTGGGAAAATCCTGACACCAGAAAATTTGCAAATATTATTTTTTCTTTCCATACAAATGACTCAATGTAGGGAAACAGTTGAGATTTTCAAGCTTCGCCCTTGCTTCTGGATTAAAATTAGTTTCCGCATCAATTATGCACCTTTATTTGATCAAGCATCAACAGAACGGGACAATATGAATTAAGAAATGTTTCCTCTCACATATAGATAAATTAAATCATACCCGTCAGTTGCTTGAATCCTCTCATTTGACATTGCATTAGAAGGGAGGTCTGTCTTGTAGACAGCAAATGTCAAAATAACTCCAAGACGGTTAGTTTTGAGTAACCTGAAAGGAGCAGTTAGAACCCCCTTTCCAGATGCTCTAGCACGCAACACGTTTTCACGGTCTTCCTGATGTGGATGTAAACAAAACTTCACCAATAAGTACATTTAAATCAGCAATGCAGCAGGCAAGGAATTAAAAGAATAGCCTAACGAAAATTGTGAGACCAGTGGAAAAACATGAATGGAAGCTATCACCAGGTCTTTTTTTCTTGGTAATTTATTGTGTCCCATTAGCATAATTTTAGCGAAATCAATGAGCAGCCAGGGAATTGGATGATAAAAAACATTTCTGAAATTTTTAAATAAAAAAAAGAATCGGGCTTACTGTTCCTGACAGCATATCAAGGGAAACCACATGTGCGACAGTATCCTGTGCAAAGATGACAGGAGCATATTCTTCCTGAACTGGGGATGGCTCCAATGCTTTGGCGACATTGTCATCCTTTTGAACTGGACTTTGTTCAAAGGTATCCATCCTCTTAATAGTCCAGCCTTGTTGCTTCTCAAATTGTTCCCTCTCAGAGTGGATCACCCTTACAGCGTATGCTACTCCACTAGTCAGGGGCCTCTCAAAAGCGGTTCTCTCCGTATACCTCGCGAAAGTCCTCTGAAATTTAGAAAATCAGTTTATACTTCAACTGGATAATATCAATGATAGACGAGAAGTACCCAAGATCTAGTTCTGGAACTGAGCCATTAACAGCATGAAATGGAAACCTCAAAAAATTCACTGAAATTAACACCGTGAACTAATTTCCAAACATGGAAAAACTAAGAATAACAAAACTGCACACCGAGATTATTTAACATAGTAAAAGCAGTTGCGTGAATAAGAAACTAGATTAATCAAATCGAGGTAGCGGGAGCAATGATCGACTCTGGTTTGTAAATAATTTGACATTATTGAACAAAAGAAGAAGCAAGGCATTTAAGCACTTCTAAGACAATTAGCAATTTCTACCAGAGTAATCAGAGTTGCTAAGAGTTAAAGGAGATCTAGTTAACCTGATCAATAGCGGAAGGGTTTTTGCCATGATGAAAGGTTGCGATTAAAATGGACATGGCCTGCACATGGTTCATGCTCACATTAAACTGATCCTGTAGCATTCTAGCCCTCTCATCACACATACTTGCAAGTGTCTCTTTCCTCTTCTCAAAAGCTTGTGAGCTCATGTACCAGAAGATCCAAACAGAGACAATGATCCAGCCAACTATCCACGCGACCAAAAGCTTTCGCCACCATGTTTTTCTAATTCTCTTGGAACCAATATACTGGTAGTAGAGATGATGGATCTTGCAACTATTCCCTGAAACTTTCTCCAAGCATTTGAGCCACATCTTGCCACCATCACCAAGCAAACCGGCCTTGGTCTCCAAAATTCCACCATTAATGAACCAGTTCATGGAAATTACTGATACAATCCAGCAACATAGCATCCAAAGTAGATGACCCACCTTTAAACCAAACCCAAATACATGAAGCAAACTCATCCAAAGCAGTAACAAACACGGGATATCTAAAAACAGTACCAAGGTTTAAGTGGGTCTTACTTATTGCCTAGCCCTAGGTGTAGAAAAAAATAAAGGGAGAGAGAAAGAAAGGAAGCTACTGTCAAGTCTACAGAGACTGTCTAGTAGAACCCAACATCAAAAGAAATCCAAACTTAAAAGACCAAGAAGAGGCACGGTTAAACGAAGAAGAATAGTTAGCGAACTTCACCTATGAGGCCAAGAAGAGGCACGGTTAAACGAAGAAGAATATTTAGAGAACTTCACCAAACTCCAAATTCAATTACAGAGAAGTGGAACTCGGAAAGGAGATGTGTGTTTCAGGAAAAGATGCGATCTTATCCGTCAAAACAGCTACGAAGTTCAGATTTTGAATGCTACAAGAGGACCAGATATTAAACAAGAAAAGTAATTCACACATACACCCTCAAGAAAGAATCAAAGAATCCTCAAGATTCTTGAGTTTCTAATCTAAAACAGAGCTTAAATGGTTTTTATCCAGTTAACTACCAACCAAAAACAACACCTGGAAAAACAAACGGACCAGAACATACAAAGATTCGAAATTCAGCTTGTATTAAAACACAAACTCCAACATCCAACAAAGATTCTAGCCAGAAAATCAAGTTTGACAAGAGAGTCCTTACAAATTTCTCAACTCAGAACAAATAGTAGAAGAAAATCAAGAACCACCATTGAAGGTTTGACTCTCTCAAGTGTTTCCACCAAGTTTATGCACACAAGAAATTACACAACGAGAAGAAGTAGAGACAACAAAAGTACAACAAGAAGAAACGGCTCGAGTACTGCTAGTGGAAAAAGAAGGTAACAAGAGCGAGTTACTCATGGACACACTAACAAATGAAGAATCTATGAAATAAAGATGAGAGAATAAGGTTATAGAAAATGTCTGCTAGCCTTCCAGCCCCATTATCTATATCCATGCCATAAAAATTATTTCAAACACACAAAATACTACCATAAATCGACAAGGATATTCATTTTCATTTTCGATGACTTCCAATATTTTATTCTGTTTACGTTAAACAGGGATGCATGGACAGCAAATTAAGGGCATAAAAGGTATAGCCCTCTTGAGCAGAAATCACTGTTTTTTCTTCTGTTTTTTTTTTTTTTTTGGTTGCCGAACAGAAATTACTGCTTTTTCACATCTTTCTTTCCCTCGGGATTTCACATCCCTATCCATTCATTAGTCCATCCCTTCGAGTGGACGGCTTCTACACGCTTGTTAACTCTTTGTGTTTGTGTTTGTATGGCTTGTACTTTATTTCTGTTGACAAAAGTGCCCCTGCATGGAACCGAAATTGTTCAGACAATGAAAAAGTGATCTTTTTGTTCGAATTTATCATTAGATGCCCTGTGCTTCTTCAAAATTACCATGGAAGGACATGGCGGGGTCAAAAGAAGAGTAGGTAATGAAATATAAAAATAGGACCCCAGCATGACAGGAGCCTCTCGAGGCGTTATTATAAATGTCTATTATATTGATCTATACTGTTCTGGAATCCGATAGCCAATGTTTGGTTAGAGAGTTTACTTGCAGATCTAGAATTCCGTCCTCCCAAAGCCACATTTTGTTTCAAATCCATTACATGACAAAACACATAATGGGTGCTAGCTAGTTAGCTTTCACTTTTTCATCACATCCAACTCACATTTCAGTTCTTGAGAAGCTATGCATTGTATTGTTGACGTCGTTTGCTTTAATTTGAAAAGTTTACGACTTGTGTTTGCACCGAAGTTAATGATTATCGTGATAATATGTCTTTAGAACAGCGATTTTTTAAAAGCGATCGAGAAATTATTTGATTAACGATACTCGTGTCTATTTAGATTTTATAAGATTAAAAATTTTAAGAATCAAAACTATATCAGCACTCCCGTTTATAGCGTCTAAGATTTAAAAGGCTGTTTAAATCTTATCCTCAAGGAAGCATTAAATAAGTTATATGCAACTTGTCTTTGATCTCTTTCTACACGTGCCAGTTTCTTATTATAATTAGCTTGCACTAAATCGAGCTTGGAAAGATTTCATGGTGCTAAGAGGATAATTAATAACAGATATTATTATTATTATTATTTATGGATAATAAGTTTTATTTCTTTCCTTTCCTTTCTTTTATCTTTATTTCCAACAAAAAATAATAAGAATATTTGCCTTTAGGATTTTATCTATTTTTATCTTTAAGGTAATTTAAAACATAACTAATAAGATACTAGCTATTAATTTCTCAGTAAACACCATAAAATTTTCCATCAGACTAATATGTGTATTAACTTTAAGCAAAGAAAATTGAATAATCCATGCAAAAACAGGCCAAACATTCTCTTGAATGATTTAAAAGGAATCAAATTTAGTTCCACCGAAATAAAAACATTGAAAGAAAAGTTAAGAGGCTAGGTTTAAATAAAAACAGAGGAGCGTTGTTGCTTTTTCTTTGAAAGAACGAGACCTAATCTCTAGCCTATATATATACAAGTTAAAAGTAGCATAACCCAGCTAGTGAGAGTACATAGTTGTGGTTGTAGCCATCTCCTCTAGCCTATACAAGTCAGTGGGCAGGAATCTTTCTCTTAGCATTTGTAATTTGTTCATGCAATAAGAAGCAACATCGGAAGACGCAATTACTTTTTTTTTTAATTATTATAAATTTGCGTATATTTTAATTAATTTTATAAATTTTAAAATTAATAATTATATAAATTTTTAATAAATATAAAATTTATAAAACTTAAAAAGAAAAACGCTATAAAATAAATCTATAACATAATATAGAGTTACACCCTCATAATTTACATTTTGCCAAGTAAAACTAGGGCATTTCTGCACGCGTGAAAAAGAATGGAATGGAAATTCAAAAGGGCAATGTTGTCATCGAAGTGGATAGATTATGAATTAGTAGCTCGAGGACAACAGTGGCAAAATGTGTGATTTAAAGGTAAGGTAGTGGCAAGTGTATAAGGGGCACTTTAATCAAGGCTTTGTCACTCACCTGGGGGTGATTAGGCCATCACTACCTGGGGCATGGTTAAGCTCCTTACGACAGCGACGTCCCACGTCAGCAGCACCGGTTCTTTCTGGCAACAGCTAATCATCTTTTCCAACGTGTTATGCCCATAATGGCTTTTGCTTTGCTACCTGTCGCCACTGGGGATGGGATAAAATTATACCATCTCTTTGACACGCGTCATGCCCGTGGAGTCTCTCTCTAGTATCTACTCCTGCCAGCTTGTGAATTGTCCGTCATTGTCTCATTGGAGTTACCTAAAAGTTAACATGTTTTGATCGCCTTTCATTCAAGTGATAGACCACAAGGCTAAAAGCGACATTTCCTTTTGGTAGTGCTCTCTTTCTGGTTTGTCACTTTGTTGCGAAACCCTTATGACCCAGTAATTTTTTTCGAACTCGCTGTTATCAAATTGATCTGATCCTAATTAGGTCAGTTAAAAAATTATTTATTCTTTTAATATAAACAATTATTTCAAACAATTTTAAAAAAATAATTAATTATTAGTTTGATAAAGGTTAATCCTAACTTGTAACTCGAAGTTCGAACAAAATCAATTTTAATAACTACACAATTCAATATGACTATCTAAATTTTTGGTTCTGAGGGTATATTTACAATTTGATTTTCAGTTCTTAAACTTGCCTACTTCTTTCATTTTTGGGTTGATTTTTTTTTACTGTTCTTTTATCAGAATGTCATCTGGGTTCTCACCAGCTACTATATTCTCAATATATATACTGCAAGACCAGTCAATCTTTCCTGCTTGCATGCAATTTGCAAGATCAATCTGTTAAAATGGTTGGTTTGAAGGTGATAAGGTCTGTTTCTATCTCATGAGTTTGAAACTCAAGCTGAGATTTGAGATAAAATTGTTAAATTTCTTTGTTTTGATAATCTGATTTAAATTTTTAGATGGAGTGGCTGATAAATAATGTTTATTATATATCTATAAAAAAAATCTTTTTATATATTTAAAGATTTTTTTATAATTAAATTAGTCAGTTCAGAGAGAAATTAGTTATACTTTTGAAAAAAAAAACTTTTTAGAATATATTTACTATTGATAAAAAATCGAACATGACTGAAAGTTATCTTCTTCTTTTTTATAGCTCCTGGTCCCTCCATTTCAAAGTAAAAGATTAGCAATATCTCTGTATTATCAAGATAAAAAATCTTTTATATATCATATACTTGTAAAATATATCTTATATATCATGTATCATGATATGATATATATCTGTGTTGTAAAGGCAGTATTTTTTATTGTTTACAAATTCAGTATTTTTTATATTTTATTCATATTTTAAACTTACAATAGTAAACCAACTTTTTATATAAATGCCTGACAACGTTGCCGTCACAACTTTATTAACAATTTTTTACTTTTTTAAATTTAACGTGTGTATCTAGTTTTAATATCCATTCTTTATTTATTTAAAAAAAATAACAAATCGAGATTTTTTATATATACAGACACACCCTTTTTCTCTAAACAAAACCCACCACTCTCTCCTCGCCAAATCAATAAACGTGGGTGCAGGAAACTCCTCCAATAACGTTTGTGCTGAGAGAGACCCAGTTAAAGGGCTTACGGTGCGGTCCTGATTTAGTAATGCATGACAAATAAATAAAGGTACACGCATTCTTTTTTTAACACATGAGTTATCACTCAATTATAGGCGCCCAATAATATAAAAAAAGGGTTTAAAAACAGCTTAAATGGTTGTCTTTTGTTATCTTAGTTTGTAAAATACCATTGTTGATGGAAATACTTAGCTCGAGATACATGTTTTACGCCTCGATAAAGAGTGTTAATATTATTATCATGATAGTTCTCGTCGGTCGGTACGTACTGACAGATAAGCGTTAGGTGTAAGGTGTAATGTTCCTCTTTCGATCGAGATGGTTTTTCTCAAACATGTATAATAGTTTTTGTAAGGAAGCTGACAGTTTGCGAGTTTCAACTTTCAAAAACACTTAAAATAAAGTCCAAATTAAAACTCTCTTAAAATAATCAAAGATATAGTAAGCATGAATGAATACTTGTAATATATATATATATACACACACACACTCTCCTTGATTAAGATGAAGAAGGGTTTTGAGTAAAACTATAAAGGAGATTTTTTAAAATATTTTGTAAGCCTGAAGGTTCTTATTTCAATTATATGTACTTAATTTATCATAAATGATAAACAATTAATAGGTTGGACTAGCTAGTTCCTCCATTTCAAAATTTGTTTTCTTCTCAATAGATAAACTAGGGTTGCCGTGCGGCAACTTGTTCCCGCGGAGGGAATTTCTCTAACGTGAGGCTGTGAGGCCGGCATAGTGCTCAGCAAACATTCTTAATTTCGACCCTCGAAGATTTCTTTAGAAAATGAATTGTGCAACCTATACGATACACTTATTTGTAGAGGCTTAGTTGTCAATAAGATTATAATTAAGTGTCAAAAGTCATTAGTTGAAACTAAGTTCAAGCGAGATAAAATTACAATGACAGGTTTTGACAATAATATTGTCATACAATTAATTAAATACATGCCCGCTTATATATCAGTTGAAACGCAAGCATAAAGAAAGACAAATAAAAACACAAGGACTAGAGAAATCAATGCCACCCGTCTTTGGAATACGTTCTTGCTGTTGTAGGCCATTGACATTGTCCCTTGAACCCTAAGAAGCCATTAGAGAAAACAATAGATATTGAAGAAAAATACGTATGGCTTAGTAGCATGAAGAAAAATTCTTATTTCATCATCTACTACAAGATGCATCCCCCCTCCCGAAAATAATGGTGGCAGTCCATCAATTTGTTTCATTTTGCTTGTGGTCGGTAGAAAAGTCCTGTTAGACTAATAATTCGAATACTTTTGAACCCAAATATATGACTCAAGACTTGGATATTTGTGCTTTATGATACTGTTTTCGATCAAAGTATGGACATAAATGTTGGCTAACCCACCCTCGGCTTATGAATTGATTTCTTTTATTGTGCTGTTTCTTGTTTAATTATTCTTGGATTCGTTGTTAGAAGT